AACAGACAGACAAAACAGACAGACAAAACAGACAGACAAAACAGACAGACAAAACAGACAGACAAAACAGACAGACAAAACAGACAGACAAAACAGACAGACAGACAGCAGGCAAGAAGGCAGGCAAGCAGGCGGGCAGGCAGGCAAACAGAGATTATGAGACAGAGAGAGACAGAGGGACAGACGGCAGAATCATTACATGTTATAGAAATCAATAGGAATACGGTTAAATAAAATCACGTCATAAAATACATTGCTCTGCATCAAACTTTTGCGCACATTCGAAAATAAACCAATTGGTGTCAGACTTATTTCTAAAAACCTATTTCTGTGTGTCGCACTAATAAATGCACTTATTTCGATTCTGATATACAAAAGAACTATACACTTTGTTTACAATTTTTAAGAAACGGCGAATTATTTACAGTCTGAAGGTAGGTTAAGCGTTGATGTAATATAAGAAAAGACCAAGGAGAGAGCCGGTGTTGTGAGGTTGGGGGGGGGGGGGGTTAGGTTTTTAATTAGGTTTTTAACCAAAACCTAATTTTGATCCTAATCCTGACAATTGTAATATTAGCATAAAGTTACTCAGTGAACATGGGTAACTCTAAAATTCGAGATCGGGCATAGTCAGAAACAGCTATACAAAAATATGCTGGATATACTGAATGTTTAAACTAAATTGTTTTTAAAAATAGAAATAAAATAAAAGGCATATCTGAATGTAGAAAAACACATTTTATTGTGCAGCCGGAGAAGTAATGCTTTTTATTTCAACAATACAGGGAATAGTTGTCTTCAAAACTAATGCGACATCCAATCAAATATGACTAGACATTACAAGAGTTGTCGATTTAAATGTGTACTGCAGTATAATGCATTATTACGCATTGGGAACACTAACAATACATTTTTAAAAATTTCGATAAGGTTCCAACCATTATATAAATTTTTAATATTGACAGATCTTCCAATATGAGAATATGATAAAATTAATTAGTGGGCGAGAAAAAGGTTATTCAGCTGAATTATTTAAGACACTTAATCAACTCTGGCATTCGATAAAGTGTTTTGTTGTTGTTTGTTTTTATGTTTGCATTACTTCTGAGATCGCAACAACGCGCGGGGACGGACACGCTAGTTACTTTATAAAACGCAAACGAGTGACATTATGTTTATTCCCCCCTTTCTCTTGTCATACATTGTCACAAAAATCTGCTCCTCCTATTTCTCATTTATGGAAAAAAAAACTTTAAAATTAGACTCCAGGTTAAGGTTATGTTATAGAGCCCCGGGTAAGAAGTTATGTTTAGCGTTGTTTTGTTAACGTTGAACTGTCGTTAAAGCCGATGAAAGCAATTTTTGTGTAAATATATCTCATTGTTGACCTGTTTAAATGTGTGTGTTATCTTGATCGTAAACTCGGGCCCACCAAAAGAAGATTGCAAGAAATATTACATCCTCGTTACAAGTTGCTAGGTTTTTGTTCAAATCGATAAAATTGACAGCGTCTGTTTTGTCGTTTCTTTCTCGTACAAAAAAAAAACAACAATCAAAAACATTATTATCAGACATTAGACGTAAAAATTTATCTGTATATAATATTAATTGCAGGTTTGTCTACATCATGAACGAGCAAGATATATGTAAAGATATAGTGAAATGTCTGAAGAATACCTGGATGGACCAGATTGTGTTTGACTTTACCGTCAAGATTGAAGACGAATCGATTCAATGCCATAAATTCATGCTAGTGTCATGCTCGGAGTTTTTCAAGGGACTGTTTCGGTCTGGGATGAGGGAAGTCACGGACAACTGTGTTGTGTTGAATGAAGTTTCTTGTGACGTGTTTAGATTGATTTTAGAAACTATTTATACAGGAGAAAATCTGCTGAACTTGGACAATTTCGTCGACGTGTGGAGAGCTGTTGACATGTTGCAGATCACCTTTATGGTCAGTTTATGTGAAAACTTTGCCATTCAATCCCTTACAGTAGACACGTGGGAAAAGATTTATATAAATGCTAAAATCTTAAATTCAAAAAAAGTTTTGAATCAGCTGTATTTGTTCATGTTAAAAAACTTCGAACAAATCAGGCTTTCACCAACGTTTCTGCTGTTGTCTTTCAAAGAAATTTTCGATTTAATAGAAAGTCAAGACCTGGTAGTCAACAACGAAGATTTAGTTCTTGAGTCAGTGATTAAATGGGTCGAGTATGCTCCTAAATTCAATGTTGGCGTTAATGATGGCTGTAGTACAGATGAACACTCCAAGCAAAATAAACGTGTGATGTTAGATACAGTACCTTCCAGCCATTCGCTAGATGTTTTAGTAGTTGAGGAGTACTCACGTAAAGATAAACTGCCAGAACTTTTGAAGCAGGTCAGGACATGTCTTGTAAGTCCTACTGTCCTATCTCGGGTCCTTCAACTGGAACTCTTCGAAAACTCGAAAGATGTAATTGACTATGCCTTGAACTATCATGGCCAAGAATTTAAACATGGCCACCTGCCGTTTGCAGCAATACAAAGATCATGTAGTGGATACACGTATTGTGGGGTGATTTCACCGCGGAACGGGATTGTTAACTTAATTAGTATACTTGATGACAAGCTTTACTTTTTTTGTGATTGTGAATATTTAGATGAGATTTTCCAGTTTGTCAATTTTAATGGCGAACTTTACGCCGTAGGCAAATCACAAGTCATAAGCAATGCAGAGTGTAGGATGTTTGTCTTTGGTGATAAGAAATGGGACAGCGTGACAACAATGCCGAGTCACAATTTGTTGTTAGTCTCACATGAGGAGTTTATATATGTCTTCAATAAAGATGATAGCATTTTATACAGAGTTAATCCAAAAAAGGAACATAGAATTTTGGAAAAATGTATTGATTTCCCATTAAAGTTTAAGTTAGAACATGCAATGAATTTTCACAACATTCTGCTAGTATTTGGCTCTGAAGTTGATAGTAACAGTGAAGTGGTAGCAGTTTATCAATTGGACATTTCGTCTAAAGTTTGGACACGATTAGACAATATAGAAGGACCAGCAGAACAACTGATTAGTTTCTGCACCGACAAAAGCCACTACATTTTACAGACAGACGGCAGCCTTTCGCTGGTGTTTCGTTGTTCTAAAACTGAAAAATTCGAATTTAGATTTCTTGGTAAGATACCCAATGTAAAAATTGATGTTCGTGGTGGGTTTACGTATAAAAACAAAGCTATAATATTTGGAGAAATCCTACTAAACGACGAAAATCTAGTAGTTAACATGCGCAGCGGAGACCCGTCTGAGCTGAAAACGTTTACCTACTGGACAATGCAAATGAAGGGTCTTCAGGTAACTAACCTAGTCCCCATGTCCATACCAACCAAGTACCTCACAGATATCTGAGGAAAAAATTAACTTTCTCTGCAACAAATATATTTAAATACTTTAAATCGCAAATTTAAGTAGAGTTTTCTTGTTTTAAATTCAATGAATGTTACTATAGATTGAAGTACTAATTTTAAAAAATCATTTTGCAATACAATTTATTACATTTGTGAAGTAAGTTTTAGATTGATAAATAATTTAGAATTCATAAAAATAAATATAAAAATATATTTCTTATTTCCAATAAAATAATATAAAAACTTAAATTATTTTTCGACTATAATGACACATAATGTCTAAATAAACTTTTAAAATTCATTTTGCAATACTATTTATTACATCTATCAAGTAAATTATAGATTTATAAAAAAAATAAAATTCATGAAATAAAAAATTATATTTCTAATTTCCCCTAAATTAAAATAAAAACTCAAAGTATTTTATAAACACCGAGTGCAGTGACGATATTGACCCATAATGAATAAACAAAACTTTGCTCACCATTAAGGTGGAGTTTTCTTGTCCAGGCATTGTGATTGGGTTATGGTTAACGCTACATTGGGATTAGGTTATGGTTAACGCTACGTTGGGATAGGTTAAGAGAACAGCTCACTTCTCCTCACTCATGCGTGTCCACATAATGTCTGAGTGACGTCACTCCTTGTATGTGAGATGTAACGCTTCAGTAGTGCTAGGCGTTCAACACCTGCTCAACGGTCGTCACGCATGCATGACCATCATTGTGTACAACCTCTCTCCATATATTATATTCCAATACTAGATGTCTTTGAAGATCTTAGGAACTAACCCTGAAAAATGTAAGGCTCGTATTAAGGTATAACGTTAGATATTGTAGATATTGGTCAGTAAAGTAACTTCAGCTTGTGTGATGTTATATCACTAATCTGTATGTTGTACAAAATATATTAATACAAAGTTATATTATAAACATTGTTAGAATATTCCGGAAACACATCTATCAGAAAATATATATCATAATTTTACAATATTTTGATATTTTTTTAATGTACATGCTATATTGCTATATCAACATTTACAATTGAAAATAAATATATTTTATTAAATTTTCTTTCGTGTAAGTTATTTATTTTGTCTTTATAAATAATATTTTTTGAATGGTTAGTTAGATGTCTTGTGTGTCTTTCACACGAGGAGTGTGGTAGTAGCAGTGTGTGTGTGGGGAGGGGGGGGGGGTGGCAGATGCTTGACGCATCTTTTGACACTATCCAACTGGGGCAATATAGAGTCTAATAATCTATACTTAAGCTACACCCTATAGAATATCGTTTTTCTTCGTGTTGGGGAAAATGACATTTTACTTTATGTACTGTGTCTGTTGGATCAGGATCAACTAAACATAGAGACCCACGCTTTTCAATTTACTTATTACCCTTACAACAATGTATTAAAGACACATTATTTTCTTTAGAATCATTTGATGATGCATTATTATAAAGACCTATTTAAAGAAAGTGATAGGAATCACGTAAATATAAAAAAAAAACATATCCCTTTAGCAAAATTTTGCGCACATTTGAAAATAAAACAATTGTTTTTTTTTTGTCGCACTCATTTATAAAAACCGATCTGTGTATCGCAGGGAATTGCGCGTTTATTTTGATTCAAATCTATTGTACATTTTGTTTACATATTTTTGAGAAACGACAAATTAAATTATTCTACAGATTAATGAAGGTAATTTATCTGGGATGTTGCAGTAGAATAAATCAAGAGGACAGCCAGAATTTTGTATTCAACTTTTTAAAATAGCTGTATAATAACAGCGGTACAATTATCATTACCTGAAGTCCACTTTTAAGGTTTGTATTTAACTGAGCGGCAACTACTGAACTAAACAAAAGAAGATCTAGATCTAGTTCTAGAGCTGGTTTTGGTTTTAGTTTCCGTTCTTCAATTGATTGTTTCGACGGCATCGTATCTCTATTCTAATTTTAACCTACGCTGTCACCTTAACCTTTACTTGCCCTTATACAAAATGTCGCCCTGAACTAAAACCCAAATTTGATGCTAAACTTGACCATAGTATTGGCCTGTCTTCTTATGTTATTTCGCTGGATGCAAGTTGGGTCACGCTCATGGGTAGACTGACCCGCCGGTCTTGTGGGGAAAATCCCGGTGGGTCCACGGGAAAACACGATCTCAGTATGCCCTCGAAAATGGTTTAGATTAGATCAGTATATTCAACAATGTTTATAACAATGAAATAAAAGAATAAAATTATACTCGATTTGAAAATGACATTTGATACTTTGAAATGTGAAGTCACACCGGATACGTTTCCTACTTCCTCTTGTCATATATCCTTAAAAAAAGTGCTTCTTCCAGACTTTTTTCTCCAGGGGAATTGGTGGGGGGGGGGGGGGGGGCGGACTACATTTTCTATATAAATTCCATTTCTTTAAGGGGACCCATCCCCCCCTGAAGAGATGCCTGGAAGATACTCTGCTCACAAAAAATCCGCCCCCCCCCCCCACCTTCACTAATTAGTTACGGACGGCCCATTCAATTAATCAAAGTTTAAAGCCTGGCTATAGTGATGGGTTGTGTTGAATTATCGTTATTGACAGTACAAGTATTAACTTTGTGGGCAAATGTAAATCTCATTGCTGTAGTATGGCCATGGTGTGTTTGTCTTGATTGTATACCTGGGTCCTCAAAGAGAAAATGGCAAACATGATTAGATCGATTTACGAATCAAGTGACTAAGATTGGCAGATTTCGATAATACTGATAATGTTTTTTTTCATGGTTTCTTAAATGTAAGGAAAACAACTATCGCAAAAGACTATTTTTTCAAGAAATTTTCTTTAAAAAAGTCTGTTTATAATATGTCTTGCAGGTTTGTCTACATCATGAACACTCAAGATATATATAAAGATATAGTGAAATGTATACAGAGCGCCTGGGTGGATGAGATGGTGTTTGACTTTACCGTCAAGCTTCAAGATAAAACTGTACAATGTCATCGATTCATGCTGGCGTCATGTTCCGATTTTTTCAAGGGACTCTTTCGATCTGGGATGAAGGAAATCACGGACAATTGCGTTGTCTTGAAAGGAGTGTCTTGTGACGTGTTTACGTTAATTCTTAGAACAATCTACACAGGTGAAAATGTTTTGAACGTGGACAATTTTATCGACGTGTGGAGAGCTGTTGATATGCTGCAGATCAACTTTATGATCAATTTATGTGAAACATTCGCTATTCAATCACTTGCAATAGACACTTGGGAAAACATTTACATGAATGCTAAAATCTTGGATTCAAAAAAAGTTTTGAATGAACTGCATCTGTTCATGTTAAAAAATTTCGAAACAATTTGTTTATCAAGAACTTTTCTGCAAATGCCTTTCAAGGAAATTTATGCTTTAATAGAAAGTCAAGATCTTGTAGTCAACAACGAAGATTTAGTTCTGGAGTCTGTGATGAAGTGGGTGGAGTATGTACCTAAAAGGGACTTTGTTCAAAATGATGGCACAAGTAGGCCTTTACATGAAGATTCTAAACAAAATAAAAGTATGAAAATTGACTCCGAACATTTCAGAGATTTTCTCGATGTTTTTATAGGTGAGGATTCGGCTCGAAAAGATAAACTGCCAGAACTGTTGAAGCAGGTCAGGACATGTCTTGTAAGTCCTACTGTCCTATCTCGGGTCCTTCAACTGGAACTGTTCGAAAATTCGAGAGATATAATTGACTATGCCTTGAACTATCATGGCCAAGAATTTAAACATGGCCACTTGCCGTCTGCAGCCATACAAAGATCATGTAGTGGATATACGTATGGTGGGGTGATTGCATCGCGGGACGGGCGTGTTGCTTTTCTAGATGAACAAGACGACAACATTTTCATCGTTGGCGACGGCAACTATTTTCAGGAGATTTTCCAGCTAGTCAGTTTTAATGGCGAACTTTACGCAGTAGGCAAATCTAATGAACAAGTAGATGAACTTTGTAGACTTTTTGTCTTTCGTGGTAACAAATGGGAATATGTTGCGGACATGCCAAGCCACAATTTGTTTTTAGTCTCACGCGATGAGTTTATATATATTTCTAATAAAGATGACCACAAGATATACAGAATTAATCCAAAGGAGGATCTCAGAAATGTAGACAATTTTACCGAACTCCCAGCACCATTGAATATTTCACATACAATGGGTTTTGAACACTTTTTGCTTGTTTTTGGCTCCGAAGCTGGTACCAGTATTGACGAGACAGCTGTTTATCAATTGGACATTTCGTCAAAAGTTTGGACTCGATTAGACAACATCGAAGGACCAGCAGAACAACTGATTAGTTTCAGCACTGACAAATACCAATACATTTTACAGACAAACGGTAGCATTTCACTGGTAATGAATTCTTCTGAGAGGGAAAAAGTAGAATTTAGGTATCTTGTCAAGCTATCGAATGAAAATATACACATACATGGGGCGTTTACTTATAAAAGTAAACTAAAATTTTTGGGAAACTTCCAGCCAAATGTCTTGTGTAGAGCGATTCTCCAACGTGACGGTCTACCGGACCTGGAAACATTTAGAAGCTGGGTTATTACTGATATTGATTTGTGTAATCTTGTTCCAATCAGCCTTCCGACCAATTACTTAGACGTCATCAACAAAAATAGTTCAAAACGAAACATTTGCAATAACAGAAATCCTCGTATCTGAAAAAGATGTAAGTTTTCGTTTTGATTTGGATTAATTTTACTTAACGATAGATTAAAGTGTTATTTTTTTTATTTGTTAGCTAGAATATTTGTTACGTTTGAAATATAAACTTAAGTTTGATAAAAATAGAAATTAAAGATATAACAAATACATTTCAAAATTTCTTTAAAACTTAAAAAAAAAAGAGACAAAACATCGAGGTTGAACAATTTTAAAATAAAAAAGTGAATACATTACGGCCGGATTGAAATATGATAAACAATTCAATGGAATAGGGTTAAGATTAAGGATACATTGGGATAGGTTTAGGATAGCTAATGTGTCTTAATCTGAGTCTCCGGAAACGAAACATAATCTTTAGCGGTGTGTTGTTGTTGTTTTCAAATTTAAATAGATTTTACATTTTTTAGTCGATTTCATTGAAATCAAATAGTTAAAAAGAAAAAGAAATCTATACTTTAACTTGACCAGGCTATTTGTTGCCTTATTTAGTTTAAAGAACAACGAAACAGATTTTTTTTTGTTTGTTTAAATAATGGTTTTCAAAGTCGTAAAATTACAACTATCTAATTAACTATTCAGACATATTTGTAAACAGACAAAACTCATAATTGTAGCAAAAGTATGTTACACTTAAATCTTTAGATTATTAAAGGATTGTTCATATATAATAATTGTGTTAAAATATATTAAAACAGATCCTTATCATACATACATTCTTATAGAAAGAAAAAAAACAATAATTTTACATTTTTAAATATTTTTTTTCAAAACAATACTGACATTTACAATTGAAAATAAAAACTTCTAAAAACTTTTATTTCGTGTAAGTTATTAATTGTGCGTTTATAAATAACTAAACGTTTTTTTGTTTGGTGTACGGAGGGTGGAGTGTGACTTCTGATAAACAACATTTCACTACATGCATATCGTTTCTCGGGCTCGAGTCACTGGGGTGCCCCCGAGTACACTCAACCTTAACTCACGTTAGGCAAACAAAGGCGGCTGGACATTATGCTGACCACGCTATCTCCTTGAATGCCGAGGTCTTTGAAATAGAATAACTCTACCTCATCTGCCCTATGTGTCTTGGTCACAAACGAAATGAAGATGATATTTAATATACTGTGGCAACGACTGATCCTAAGGAGTCCGTGGCAGCAGAGGCGTAGCGAGGGGGGGGGTACATATGTACCCGGGCGCCGATTAGGGGGCGCCAAAATGGGTTAGAAAAACAAACTAAAATCCCATTTTGGCTGCAGTTTTGCATTATAAATATAAAAAAAATATATGGGGGGGGGGGTGCGAATGGAAAATTTGAGGGGGGGATGCAAATGGAAAGTTTGTGGGGGGGGGGGGGGGTGCAAAGTGAATGTTTGAGGGGCGGGGGTGCAAATTGAAATTGGAAAGGTTGTTCCCGACGAGGGGGGCGTCAAATTGAAAGTTTTTCCCCGGGCGCCGGGAAGGGTCGCTACGCCTCTGCGTGTCAGATAGAATCATTTCTGGTGACTGTGTTTGTTACATAACCTCTGGAGACAAACAAGGGCACTCACGACCTGTTATTGTAATTTTTTGTAGGCTCCTCATTGGGCGACGTCTGATCAGTGTCAAAGGTCAAGAATTGTTGTATTATTAGGAGATTTACGACTACCTATTTATAAACTATTGTGTTATTCCAGTCCTATTTACGGTAACGGGAAAGTTAAAAATAGAACATTCAGATTCGTAAATACGTACTAGTAATTGACAATGTGGTATTTATGCATATATATATATAGATAGATATAGATATGTGTGTGTGTTTGTGTGTGAGTGTTTGTGTATACATCTATATATATATATATATATATATATATATATATATATATATATATATATATATATATATATATATATATATATATATTTATTTATATATATATATATATATATATATATATATATATATATCAATACATCAATATATACATACATATATATATATATATATATATATATATATATATATATATATATATATATATATATATATATATATATATATACATATATATATATAGGAATTTATTGGTACTTAAAAGTACATAAAATAAAAAGTTATCACCTAGCGTAACATTTCTACTATTTATAATCAGTCGGCCTTGTTGGAAAGATAACTTGTGACCCCATTTCTGAAGACTATTTTTAGACTTTTGCGTGTTGTCCAATGGCACGCAGATAAAGGCAAGCGACATATCCCTGTTATTGTTCCGTAGAAGTCTGGGGGTCAGTGCTGGTATCTAATCTACGACGTTTTAAGTGGAGTAGCTCTATTTTTTACAGCCAATTAATCCAGGTGGCAAAATTTAGGTTAATATCTTAATGTACTTGTATATGAGATACAATGAAATATTGATTTATATTTTTAAAAAAAAAACCTTCTTGAGCTTGATCGATGTTCAAGTTCCAAATCGAAAGTTTAATGTTTAGTTTTAATAATTACACATTCAGACTGGTCTTGAGTTAATTATCGAGTCAGTGTGAATATAAGAAATCGTTAAAGTCATTATGTTTTCTACGGACAGTTCAATGCCATTCTTTCCCTGCTTCTCATAATGTTCACTGAGTGATCGCCCTTTCGTTTGATTGTATGGTGTCTGACTTTTACGTGAATTAAGCAAATTAAAGTCAAGCAAGAACTTGAATTGAACCAGCTTAATACATGTGCTGAATTCGTTTTTATTGTTAACAATGAACAGTTACGTGTGGTAAACATTCTATTTTATTTTGTCAACATGTTTCTTTTTAATACTGTAATCAGCGTAAATAAATATGTTAACGTTATCTAACATAAATGAAACTAGGTAGAATAGTCTTCTTGTCAATTAAAATTGTTCTTTTTTTCGCTACTTCGATAAGTAGAACCTTGTTGTGTAACCTTGTATCAGTATGACATGTAGCCTTAATTAACATAATAAAATGGCTACCATAACAAATAAGTTAATAAACAAGTTAGAACAACTAACATAATTATTAATTTTATGTAAATCTTCCAGATTACCCATCACACATCAGCTACGTCTGTTTTTACAACTTATAATGGTGAAGAACTTGACAAACGTTGTCAAAAACATCTTATCATGGTATTTAACAGACTTTTGTTGGTACTATTTACTGGGGGCCTAATCGTTTCTAATCTCAGATGGTATGGACATGTGACACGATCCTAAGGCTCATCAAAGACAATCATGCAATGGATAAGGGGGCAGTATGGTAGTAGTAGTTCCCCTTTAAAATCTGACGGTCTATGGGGCAAGTGAAGTAGAGTTTACCGGTTACTGTGACCTCGGCATATGAACGGATAGTGTGGTCAGCACTATGCCCAGCCGCCTTTCTTTCACTAACCTAAGTTAGGTACCCATCAGAGCTGGGTGGACTCAGAGACGGTCTACTGACTTGAACCCGGATTCGAACTCCGTCCAATAAGGGCAAGATATGCAAAGACAAAATTGGAAGGAGGAAACCAAAGAATAAACTCAGCTGCGTTTTACACAGTTAGTACAGGCAGCAGACAAGCCCAGGATGATGGCAAAGAATTATGGACAACTGAACTGTGGTACCCAAAGATTTCCACTCCCCCCTCATCAGATGTTATGGGATGATTGATTGATTTAATGGTGTTATGAAGTGACTCAAATTGAGTGGCAATTTTCTCAAATGTTGTTGCATTTTTATAAAATATTTCCATGTTTAGAGTGTGGTCAAGATTGACGAAATCACAGTGTATTTCATGAATGAATGTTATACATCATGTGTGAAACATAATCGTGGCTTATAAAAAGTTATAATGGAGGACCCCAGACAAGGCAGCAACTCTTGACTTAGATCAATATTTGTTGAGGAGATCTTAGAAGTAATGAAGGCGGTCTATTAAAGGACGTCATCGATAATTCATTGACTTCGTTTACAAGTTAAACATTGGGCGTCATGTTGAACTACTTTTTCTTTTTCGTGTGGGCGAGATGACCGCTTTCTGTTAGGTCTAGGTAAAAATCTGGCACACTGCCAAAATGTACACCGTCGATCTACATACGGCTTGGCGTGGTCGGGTAGTTAAAGCTCATGGCTGCTAAATCCCAAGTCCCGTGTTCGAATCCACGGACAGATGCTGCTCGATAGCAACCCATCAAGGAGAGACAACTCCAAAATCAAACAACTGCTGACTTGTAGTTTGTTCTTGGGAGAGAAAAGGCTATGGAAGCGAATCCAGCAGGTTGAAATCGGATTTGATGGTCTATATGGCGCATAACAAGTTGACATATAACACTTAATTAATGCAGTTAAACATTACACGTGTTGTGTCTTCGGTGATAGATTAAGTAGAATGCACCTACTTTTGTCAGTAGGATAATTTCCTAATTAATTTAGCAATGTTTTATAAAACATTTATTATATATATATATATATATATATATATATATATATATATATATATATATAATATATATGTGTGTGTGTGTGTATATAGGCCTATATATATATATATATATATATTATATATATATATATATATATATATATATATATATATATATATATATATATATATATATGTGTGTGTGTGTGTGTATATAGGCCTACATGTATAAAATATTGACTATATCAATTCTGTTATTAATTTGTACATTAATGGGCCCATTAAAGCCCAACGTATCACTAACATTTTGCTGCTTCCAATGCCACTAGTAAATTTACTAAAACATCACTTACACAACTCCACAAGCAATTACCTGAAGACAATGACCTTGATACCACTCCCCCCCCCCCCCCCACCCACCCCTTCCAGCACTATAAACGTTCCCAATAAATGAATAATGAAATGGCACATCAAACCGCCATTCATCATGTCTAGAAGTGCATTCCCCAGCCAATTCACCAGCACAACATAACGCCCCCCCCCCCACTCCTCACTCTCTGAACCGGCTGTTCTTATCTTGATTTATTATTAAACCGACAGAAAG